GGTGAAGTAGTTGTGATCCTATGAGATCCTGGAACAGAAAAAAGAAGTGAGAGTTGTTGAAGATTTGTGGTCCCTAAGAGACAAAGAGAAAACTTCTGTTTCCAGGGATGATCACAGAGACAGATGAAGAGAACTTTTGCCTTTGAAGAACTCATCCTTAAAATGACACCCTTTTGAATCATGGCCCACGAACACACCTCAGAGTGGTGTGAAATGGAAGGAGAGGACTGATGGCAGTGTTTTCCAGGTGGCTGGCATCAGAGAAATAGAAAGCCATGAGAAAATGGTTTTCTTGTGAAAAACTCCATAGACTGACAAAAGAGAACTTCTTTATCTCTACAAAGACTGATGAAAAGACTATAGCAAAGTTAGAACTGTTTTAACCACCAGGTTTTGTTGTCTCTATGTTGCAAATTAAACAAGGGAATGGTTGGGTGGTGGGGAAAAAGGGTTTCTGGAGGTTTTATTCTGGTTTCTTATTCTTGTAGTTTTGTTAATAAACTTTCTTTCTTTTAAGTTTTAAGCCTGTTTTTCCCTTCTCCTAATCCATATCTCATGGCAAGAAATGAGTAGGTTTTCTAGTAATTTTTTTAGCTAATGCTTTAAAACCAGGACACCTTTCCTCTAGAGGACACACACCTGCAGGTTCCCAACCATCCTTCAGGATTGTGTTTTCTTGCATGTGTTACTGTCTTTCTGCTGTAAGCATCTTCTTGGAAGGTAAGACAAAGAGAACTGCGAGGCTGTTGAGAAAATATAAGCCTTCCCTGTGCACCCTCCAGCTGTCCCTTCAAAACCAGCCAAATTTCTTCCTCTTCCAGGCTTCCCGTGCCTGCTTGTTCTCCTCCTCCAGGTAAAACACAAATCCACTTCCCTCCTTGCCCTGCCACAATTCAAAACAGGCATGGGGTATTTGCTGCTTCTCCTCACAGGCCACTTCCCCAGATACCACCACATCCCCTCAGCCATGGAGCTGGAGGCTCTGGGCAGGTTTTAGTCTCCCCAGGAGGTGGCAAATGACTGTGGAAAAAGAGGTACTTCTTATATAGTCTCACCCCACTGGAGGCTCTGGCAGCTCCACTGCTGAGAACAAGGCAGGCTGAGCAATAGAAAACTGACAAACCCTGATTAATAATAAAGTCATAATAAAACTGTGCCAGCTGGCAACAGCATTGTCTGTCAGCAAAGCTGGATTTGCACAGAGGGAGCCTGCTGTCGTCCAGGTTTGGAAAAAGGCAGAGCCCCGCAGGAATTGTGGAGAGCGAGGGCATCCCCCACCCTCGTCCTTGTCAACAAAATTCCCACCCTGCACCTACAGACCCGTCACAGCACCTGACACACTGCTGGCCATCCATTTGGGCAAGGCAGTCACTGGATTAATGGTCTGCAGAAGGAAAAAGAATGGGTTTTAGGGCTCATGTTGAAGAGCTCACTGATCTTACCAACTTACTGACTCTCAGCCTGAGTTGGGCATTCACAGAAGACACACCTCAGAAAAGGGATTTCACATTCAAGATGTGCAACAAGGCGCTGACACATAAAACATCCACAGTGATTCATAGCTACAGATATGACATTTATTAGAGGAAAAAGGCCATTTTAAAGACATGGCCACGCCTTGGGATCGCATACAAGCATAGTCTGCCGGACTTCATGCTCCTCAGGTATCACCTGTAAACAGTGGTTCAAGGCCAGGTCTTTAGGGGTACTTAATGCATGAGCTCAGCTAAACAGCAAGGAGGTGACTGGGCAGTAGTTTCACACTGTCACACATCTGATAAAGCTAAAAGAGCATTGCAATAGAAAGTCACTTGGGTGTAAAGCCTTGCCCTGCCTGCTGAGCATGACAGACCAGTCCAGGTGAGACAGCTCAGTGGGGTACTTTTGTCTGGATTACACTACAATGTTTTCAATAAACTGCCTTAAAGAAGAGAAAAATATGCAATGACTTACCTAAAGGGACCTAAAGAATCCAGTTCTTCCAAGGAACCTTTCACAAGATGATCATTCTTAATATTAACAAGCTGGTAGCTTTATCAGTACTTTAACATTCATGTTTGTGTATGCTCACTTCTTATTAAACACTACTTGGGTTTATTGAACCTGGTGATAGCTGGTACTACAATTAATAACATGTTCTGTGTAGATGTTAAAAGTTTGTAGAATCTATTTTTTTATTTTTTTAATTTTTTTTTTCAATAAAGCATGAGACTTTTATGTTTTCCTGATTCTAAAATAAAGGGAGGAATTATTTCAAACGGCATATTAAAAGAGAATGAAAAATAAAGTTGTACCAACTGGAAGGAGATTGTGGCTTTGGAATATGAATCAATTTTCTGGATTTCATTTTCTACTCACACACTGGAGCTGCCTTTTCCCACCTCCACTCAAGAGAACAAGTAGGGACACAACTTCTACTTTATTTTTTTTTTTATTATTTAAAAAACTTTTGGTATAGCAGATGACACAAAATGTGTTAGCTGCCCACTTCTGCAGAGATGCACAGTGAACTTCGGTAACACACTATGAGCTGAATTAAATTGTCTGCCAAAAGTAAGCAAACTTTTCTAGACAATCTGTTATTTGACACACTCCAACCAGTAAAGCCTGTTGGACCATCTGCTCTGCATAAAGTCCAGGGTACGTGTTTTACATGGCTCTAAATTTAGCAGTGAGCCACAGTCAACATTTCCACAGTGGGGATCCCCTACCAGAAATTCTGTCAACAGCTCTTGCCCTCTTGGCTTGGTGTCCAAGATCCAGGAAAATCCCTTTCTGCAGCCTATTTCCACCTGTTCACTGCCAACCTGACACAACCAGGAGATGCTACATTTCTGCACACACAGTTCCTACCTGTGGGCATACAGAAATCCCCTATACCCACAAAACCATAAACCTATAACCACAAAAAAACAAAACAAAAAAACCCCAGGATACAGCTGCACCAGAGGAGGCTGACCAAACACCCCAAAAATTTCAAACCCTCCCTATTCAACATTTTCCTGCCAAAAAGACAACACAGCCAGGAAGGCTGCACACAGACAGACACACATATCCCAGCTGCCTTGAATCAAAAGGTAAAAGGGGGAAGGAAAATTAGCTCATTACTGGATCTGGCTGTACTTCTGCATCCCTAACACACTGGCTCAGTCAAAATGTTATCTGCTATCTTTGATATTTTTTTAATGCTGGAGGAAGGATAAAGAAATTCTTCTTGCACCACTGAGAAACATTTAAATTCTTATACACAGCAGCCAGCTGGTGTTTCCAAAGATTTTACACAGCTTTTCTGCATTTCAAATACAGCTTCTCTACCAGATACCTTCCCAGTGACACACTGGCAGCTCTGAGTATGGAGAGGGGAAGAAGCTGTTGGACCACCTCTGTCTGCAGCGCAAGGGGGGCACAAAAGGGAGGAAAATTGGGGTGGACAAGGAGTCGGAATGCCAAAATATTGAGGGGAAATATGTAGGGGGAAGCACACAGAAAAATTGGATGCTAGAATGAGGCTGTAAGTTGAAGTTTATTCATTTCTTCCATAATTTTAGTTGATGTGTCTGCAGAATAGATAACAAAATACAAATATTTGACTTCACTAGGAATCTTTATCTTACTATGACACTAGTATAATTTTATATGACCCAAACTCTCCAGACTTTTTCCTATTTTATAACAGTATTGTGTTCTTCAGTTGTGTTTAAGGTCAGATTATATGTCTGCAATAGTATTCCTAGTAAAAACATTCACAACAAGAACTACTTTGGTACTTGTGGTTTTTTAACACTGTGCATTTATTTTTGCTGGCTTTTGATACTTGAAAGCCTGAGTAGTGCTGTGTTTACAGACTTTAAAATACTTGTTATGTTCTCTTGGGGCTGGCAAATGGATTATGTGACAGGTGGTCTTGAAAGACATCTAACCCCAGGGACAAACTAGACCTCATCACTCCCAGGAAAACAAAACAAAACAAAACCAAACCAACAACAAAAACAACAACAAAAATATAAACCCCAACCACCACTACCAACAAACAAAAAACAAAAAAAGAACATTTTCATTACACCTCTGCCATTTCAGATAATATATTTCAACTTCCTATTTACCAATATGGGCATAACCCTATAGGTGGGCTCTGTTCCCCAAAGGAAGCTGAAGCACCCCAGTGTCAGAGGGAATGTGCTCCCTGCAGCCCAAGGATGAGCTTGATGCAGGCTGCAGCTCTCTGAAGCAAGTAAATCCCAATGACATCTGGAATACAGTTCAGGGAACAGCATGAAGCACCTTGACTGCAATTCCCCAGCATTTTATGACAGCAGATTTGGGGAGCTCCCATCCAAGCATCCAGTTACAGTTCTATAGATAAAACTAATCAGTTTTTGACCAAGCTACTCCATTCTCCTCTAATATTTAGCTGCTATTCTGTATTATTTTATTGGCTCCTTGCTGAGGTGTGTGAAATGAGTTACATGCAGTGTGAGAGAGGGCATCAATGGAACCATCCTTAGTAACTTCAATTGTAGCCAGTGGCTAGAGCAGAATGACTCTGGGGACTCTTCTTGTAAAGGAATGACATAGAGGAAAAGGCTTAGAAAACTAAGTGGGGAAATAAATGCCAAAGGTACTCTAATGCACTTTGTATAAATCAAAATGCGAAAAAAAACAGAGGTGGTTCATTGTGTTTGGGGCTTTTTTCCTCATTTTTAAGTTCTTTATAGTAGGGTTGGTTGATGGAGAAGATGGGACAGCAAAGATATGCCAGTCTGCAGTACTGCTGTCTTGATTTCTTTATCACTTGTCTCAAAACTCATCTCTTCATATGTCACTCTTTACATCCTATTGACAGTCTCACCCTCCTAGAAAATTTTGAATGGCAGGGGAAACCATCTCCACAGAGGGCAGAAAGGCCCATCTACACTAATCTTTTTCCTCCAAAGTAACACATTCATCTAGTCTTTATCAAAATATTAATTTACAAAAAAAGAGAAAAATCACTCATGAAAAACTGACAATGACTTTTACTCTTTGGGGAAATTTTAGCAGCTTGTAAGAGAAGGAACAGCAAGGTCCCTTCATACAGACACAAACACAGCTCATGGAGTGCTCATGGAGAGGAAGAATTTGAATGAGTTGCTTTCATGGTTTGAAAGACGAATTGCCAAGGAGACTTAGAGCAGCTACTGTGAGGATGGCTCCCTGCAAGAAACAACACAATAGAAAACATTGGAAAGGAAAAAGGGAAGGGGAAAAATGAGAAGGAAAGGACAAACACTAAGAATTGGCACTCCCACCCATCAGCAGGTGGAGGCTGCCAGCACTTTCCATTCCTGCCCCATTGCAAAGCAGCAAGGGCCTGGCTCCAGGGATACAGCCACATGATGGGAGGGTGACAAAAATGTCAGTGTAATCCTGACAGGACCAGTTCCCAAGGAGAAGGAGGCTTTACAGCAGGGACAGCTCTCAAATTCCTGTCTCTGGCTTTACAGGCAGTACCAATCTCAGTCGATGGCTTGATCCTGTTAATGAAGACTTCTGTGCAGCTGCATTCCATTAAAGTCACCCTGGTAACTCTACCCCTTCCACCTGCACTTCTCTCCACACAGCCTTGTCACTCCACCTCCAGAAATACGTGTTTTTATGGATGAGTCTGGTATTTTGGAAAAAGTGGATGATGGAAAGATTACAGCAAGCAGGAGCTGGGAACCCTTCAGATCTGTCCCACTTCTCAGCTACTGCTATAACCCAAAACACCGCACCTGTGGGGCAGGAAAAGCAACAGAAGCTACTGTAGGGCTTTGGAAGGGACATTAAAGATCGTCCAGTTCCCACACCCCTTCTGTGGGAAGGGACACCTTCCACTAAACCAGGTGTTAGAATATTCTTTTTAGCTCTGTCACTTTCTATTTATTATTAAAACTGTGTCAAGACTGTGGCTATCTCTCAAATGTAAATAGTGTGCTTGTATATTACACCAGTTTATGGAGTGGGTGTCTGTATGATGGATTTGTAAAATTCCACAGCACATTTTAATAATCAAACACAGGCTCTATCAAAGTGTCCAGACACGTCAATTATAAATGGGCTCTCAGCATAAAAAGTAGATTAAAACATTAATTATTGTTCTAGCATGTTTTTGATTCAAGCACATTAAACATCTTTTATTCCCTGTATGTTTTCAAAAGAATGACTTGCTTATAACAGTTTTAGGCAAGCTGGTGTTGGAAAGGAAATATGACCCTTTCTTTTATTAAATATCAAGATCTAGACTTCCCCTGTTGGAAGAACAGACACTGGATTTATTTATGCCAGAGGACTGCAACACAAAATTGAGAGTACACAGAAAAATCCAGCAGTTTCCTTGAGCAGTAATAACCACCTAACCAGGGCAGCACCAACTAATCTCCTCCCAGCACTGGTGGCTTTTTCCTAGCCCAGGCCATATGCCTGGAGTCACACACTGGAACCGAATTCTGATCACTAGCACAGGGCAAGAGATTCAGGATGGCTTCCCAGGAGGAAAAGGCCACACTGCTACCAAATCACTGTCCAGCCCCTCCTGCCCCATTACCCCTGCTCTCCACAAGCTACATCCTGGCTGTGATCTGTTCAATCGCAGCTCATTCTACAGTGAATGCATGTTCTAGGTGCAGTGTTACAGCAACCTAAAATTCTGCAGAGTACGAATGAACTTCTCAGGTCTCCCAGCTGATTCTTGGAAGCCCATTAAGGAATTATGCGAGGTGCCTATGGCAACTTGCAAATGATAAAAACAAGTATGTACTTAAATTGTCCAGATCAGCACGCACAACTAACATTTGCTTGGGAATCAAGTGATCTTGGTAGGTCATTGGCACCACACATTGTATTTTTCTCTGTAAAAATGTCTCAAGCTAATTCTTGGTGCAGAAGGGATTTGTCTCAGGGCAGTTTGCACAGTTCTGTTGATAGTAAAAGATTTTAAAATCATAGAAAATTCGGGGAGTTAGAAAGAAAGTTAGGCTTGGCAAGCCCTGGGAAAAGTGTTAAAAGTAGGCCCTGGGAAATGTTAGGCCTTGTGCTTGCTAAGATGATGTGAAACTGCACCTGTGTAGTCAGTATATGATAAATGATATAAGTGTTAGATGTGATTAGATATAATTATTGTTTAAAGAATCATGATAAACTATGTTAGGGGTTTGGGGGGGATCACGAGAAATCCATGCTTGGGTAAAAACAATGCATACAATAGAACAATCTAAGTTTAATAATTAATATGAAAGTTATGTAATGATAGAGTATAAAAACATGTTCAGCTCAAAACCAAGTTGGGTCAGATTTGGGTATGTGTACCCCTGACACCCAGAGCTCTTAATAAAGCACCTTCATATAATCATTCCGTGATTATGTGTTCCTGAACGCTAACACTGTCCCCCAGCAGCTGTGCAGTATTACCATTTTCAAAAGACTTATCAGCATTGCTGTCTAAGGATCTTCCCTGGGCTGCATGATCCAGAGGCAGACACAACAAATTCTCCTCTGTAAATGTCAGCACTTGCACTCGGTGAGCTCTGGTTTCCTGTTAACACACAGATGGAGGATCAGACCAGAGATCAAATGTCAGAGTTACCAATGGCAAGAAATTTAATCAGTTTAGATGGAAGCAAAAAAAAATCCTGAAGCTTTTTTTTTTTTTTTCCCTAGTTATATCTATAGTTTTATGCAACATGATGTAAGTTTAAGGTCAAGAGAGTAGATGAAGGTTTTGAAAGGAGTTCTGATTTAAATCCCCCAAGAATGACCAAGGGTGACCATTAATAAATCACGGCTACCTTGATGCATGCAGAGGAAACTGCTGGGAGGCTGAGGATGGAGGCTGAAAAATTCACCTAGGAGTGAATTCACCTCACCTGAGGAGTTTGAGATGACCCAGCTGTCAGAGGTGGTGGGAAATAGGATTTCACTGCTCCCACCTGTAGTGGCTCTACCTCCACCAGCTGCAGAGCCCAGCCAGCAGCTTCCCACCTCTTACTGCAGACAAAGTGCAGACGTTTGACTCCTCACGTCATGCTTGACAGGGATTGGCATCCCTGCTAATTAGAGTTTGTGTCAGGGCTGCAATTGGAGCTGGACACAGTTTGGCACTGGCTTAGCAAGGAAAATAAGAGCATCTTTCTACAGCTGTGCAGGAGAACCCCCTGTTCCTGGCACAGTCTCACACCAGTGTATTGTTCTGAGTGCCTTTTCCATATTTGAGCAAATGAGCACTGAATCATTTATCAAACACTTGGTAAATTCAGATTTCATTTTTGCTACCTATTCATTTGGCATCCAATTCATAGCCTCTTGACTGACAGCACTGGCCACCTCTCTGAAGCAGGCTTTGAACTTCAGGTGTGTCTTAGCCTTCCCACCCCGGTGGGTCTTTCTCTTCACGAGTTTCCCAAATGATTTCCCACAGCAGGAAAATGGGGAGGATGCAACAACTTTCAAAGTCACCTTCAGGAGAAAAGAATGCAGAGCCCAGAATAAACATACATTTAATTTCTTTGCACGTTGAGGGGGCTCAACGAAAACAGAAGGCAGGATCTGGAACAAGAGCTACAGTTGCTCAGGCTGTGTTTGTGAAACCTTGAATGAACAACACATTTGCTATACAATGTTAACACAGCAGGTGTCAAACACCAGTGCATGCCCAGAAACAGTGGCAAACAGAGCTGGGAATCAAAAAATCACCTCATGGCCCGCTAGGGGAAAAAAAAAACCCAAACCCAACAAAAAAAAAGGTAGCTCAAGCACTTGGCCTTGTTCTTCATGCTTCTTTGGTTCTGTATTTGGAATACAAGCAATACAGAACTCGCATTATCGCCTTCATATCTCCGTTCACAATATCTGTGGATGCACAAACCAGAGACAAAAAAAAACAGATGGGAAGTATTAGCAATCCCTGGAACAGGATGAGACAGCACCTGCCAAAGACAATCTCCCACCTTTCCCCAATGATATTGTGAACTTGGACAACCTAATTGTGACAGGAAGAAAAACAGAAACTACAGAGGTAGAAGCTAATAATTTATTAAATTAACTTGAAGAAAAGGGACTTCTGCTGCACTCTGTTGCTGGAAGGCAAATGAGGGCAAATAATGAAGAGTAAGAAATTCACTAGCAAAGAACAGAGTACACAATTTAATAGGGCTTTATATCTATGGTTATTCTGTATCAGGAATCATGTTGGAATTACCTGACACTTTATTTCTTTATTTTTTGTTGTAATATTTCCATCATGTTTTGCATTTGATGCATTGGTTTTTGGTGGTTTTTTTGGGTTGTTTTTGTTTATTTGTTTGGGGTTTTTTGTTTGTTGAGCCTTTGTTGTTGTTTTAGGTTTTTTCTTTAGTTTTCAGTTTATTTTTTCTTGGCTATATAAGCTGTTTTTGTATTTAAAAGTTGCAAAGGAAGAGGGTAATAGGATTCAGAGGACTTACTTTTCTTATGGTGCTGTAAATCACTGGGAGAAAGACTTAAAAAAAAACACTAATAAAATGAGATCCTTGAAGAGTCTAAATAGTGTAGCTGTAACAAACTAGGAGCCCTAAATCATATTAAATTCACTCACTAGCTGAGGATTTCCCCAGTGAAGCTAAAAGACTTGCAGATGTTGACACCAATATTTCTTATACTGATCAACTCTGTGTTTGAGTCAGTGCAGAACAGCCAGAGGGGAGGAAGGAAACCACAGATTTATCTTTTCACACAAAAGGTGAATCTCAGCATGGAGACCTGAGCCCATACTGATTACTCTGTTAATGTTAACATAAATAAAAGCTCTTTAGCTCCAGGCTCCTAGCTCTGTGCAGCACAGCAAAAAGCTCACAATTCATGAATGCCCAGCATGCAAACTGCTGACATCACCCAAGCAGTAGATGGAAAAGAGAATAAAAGGAAAAAAAAAAAAAGGAAGCCCTAAATCCTCTCTTTCCCTCTCCATGATGCCATCTGTTTCGTACCAAACACATGCACATCCCTCATCCCAGCAGGAGCTGGCACCAAATTTTTCTTTGGAGTCTTTTAATTGGAAAACTGGACTCACCCAAATGGAGCTTATTTGTTTGTTTTTGTGGTGGAGAAAGAAAGAGGAGCATGCATATACATTGATTCAGTGATGGAAACATTCACTTGGATGAAGATCAAGATTCAGCTCCCAGGTCTGAACCAAGAATAACAGCAACTAAGAAACTGTGACTTACATATTCAGGAGATTGCCCCACCATATTCTGAGTTTGAATAGAGTGATCAGTGTTTTGGATTTTCCAGAGAAATTCTTCAAGGTGTCTTCCCACAGAAACAAGCTTGCTTTTAATGCACTGAAAGTTTTTCTGAGACAGGAAAATAGCTTTGCCTCCAGCTCAACTGCTGTAATTTCCTGTCACTCATTTAAATTAGGAGCTGTCACTCATTTAAATCTTTAACAAATAGTGAATTACTAAACAGTTTAAGTTTAGTGTCAAGTTACTAAACTTATAACAATCCAACTTTTTTAGCTTAGAAATAATGATTTTTCAAAAAAAAAAAAAATCTTATTACTTCTACCATTCATTCTACATGAGGAGCTCTAGGGCAGCCATATGATGAAATGTGTAAGTGTCATTTCCAGAACCTGCTTCCTGCCATTACCCAAACTTTTGCTAAGCTGGGATGTTAGCAATTCTATTCCAGATAAGTTTGCATGTCATGACTCACCTTCAGAATTCACATGAAAATTCAGAAGACCTCCCTCTGCTAGCAACTCCAATGCCAGGTTAATGTTGTGGAGCTGTTGGAGAGAGAGAGATATTAATATAGCTGACAATATTTTCTAACCAACAGAAGGCTTTGAAAAGTATTTCTCTAGTTGCTGAAGATACTGATTCATAAGTATGCACTCCTATTCCTCTCCTTAGTTTTGATGAAGTGCTCTTCAGAATTTATACCAATTATAATATAAAATTAGATGTAAAATCCATCTTCAGCAAAACATATCCCATGAGATGAGCAGAAGAATCCATTTATTTAAAAATAGACCTTGTATGTGAAAGGCTTGAGTTAATGGGAAAAACAGGCTAGATTCCTACCTAGATCTAATGGATGCATGGAGTCTATTTCTGGGTATTTTTAAACAATGCATGTATGCTCACCACACTTGGAAAAAACAAAAAGGCAAAAGTTCTCAATATTTCATTCAGGATTGCAAAGGTCAGGTATGCTTGTTAGCTAGAAGTTTCTGCTGTACTTCTAAAATGTCTATTCACATTAATAGTAGTGATGATACACTCAATAACACTCATCAGAAATTAAACACACATCTATGAATAAAGGCTGAGGGTTTTTTTCTAATTTTTCCTCACTGCTTTTTCTCTCCCTTCCCCACATAAAAGCAGCATCGCACACATAATCAGCAGTGGTAACAAGTTTTTTAAGAGTAATATCCTCTTCTAACAGCTTAAGGGTAGTTATTTACTTGGCTGGTAATTAGGAAATTCCTTTTCTCTAAAGGAGTAACAAGACATGAATGAACTTCAGATTGCCTCTTCTTGCCTTCCATGTGCTACTGGGCAATTTATCCTTTGGGAGGCTGCTGTTCTCTGTTATGTTGTGACAACAAGCACAGGAGTCCCCCCTGCATAAGCCAAGAAAAACCCCTGGGCTCTGAAGTGAAGCAACAGATTTATGTTTCACCTGCTTCTCTGATTTACAAGTAGCTGAGACTGCCTGTTTGGATTCAGGTTTCTTTTCTTCCTCTGATAGTTAACAGAGAGGAGAGCTTCAGACCATGCAGTTCTACACAATTTGCTGATGGGAATGAATATATCAAACGTTTCCTTAATAAACCAGCACAGGCAAAAAGGACACATTTCCCTCTCTGTAATGCATTGGGGATTTTCAAGGAATGACAACATGCACATTTCAAAAAGCATCTTCAGACAGAAATACCAATAATTACCCAAGAAAGGGAAGTCTTAAAAATAAGGTGCTTTGTCCAGCTGTGCTTTCTGACTCAAAAGACCTGGACAGTTTTCTAGAATTTACAACTGGATAGCAGCCAGGACATCTGGGGTGTTTCAGCTCTGGGCCTGTTTTGGCAAAAGTACCGAGTTCAGTACACTTTTGATAAGCACACAAGCCCTCCATCATCATCGTTTTCCTCTCCTGATTGTACAGATATCCCTCCTAGTTTCAGCCTCCAACTATTTTGTATTCTTTGTGACAGAAAAAACACACCTTTCTGAATTCATGAGCTCCCAGAGCTGCACTACTTTACAGTTACTTGTAAACACCTTTTTTTTTTGGCAATGAACACCCCAAAAAACCCTGCAACAGACCTGCCCACGTGCAGTGCTGTCTTCTTGCATCTCAAAATCAATCACCTCCTGAATTTCAGCCAGGGAATGGTTTTGGTTAGAAGGAACTGTAAGGTGGATGCACCACATTTATCCCAACAGTGCTTATGGTTATTACCATTCCAACAACAAATGAGATCTTTTAAATCCCAGCAAAGGCTACATCTTCATACTTTACTGCACCAATTAATGTCTAAAATGACAGGAAGTTAGAAAGCACAGGGAAACTGAAAGACATGTTTTGTGTACAAATGACAGCTGAGCTATGGTCAATTGATATTTTTAGTTGTAGTGTCATCCTGCTTTTCATTTTGTAATGAGCATCAGAGGAGAAACAAATGGGAAATACCACTTTGGAAAACTGTTCAACAGCAAGTCCAGTCCTTGGGAGTAACTTTGTTAAAATGAAATTATTTCATTTTCTAAAAGTAGTAAATTTTATGTTAAGATTTGTACTGAAGCATAACCCAACCCCATTCTATTCATCTCTGATGCCACTGATGGACAGGGTAAGAGCTAGGAAGTCTGAGCTTTGATTTGTACCAGAATTTTAGGGCTATCTCATTTCCAGAAAGACTTCTGTGAGGCTACAATAGGGCTGAACAAAAAAGAAAATGGTTACTGATGAATTTTTAAATAAGAAATTATCCAGTGACTTCCTCGAAATAAAGCTAATGGAAATGTTAAAAATTTCTGTCCAGTTCAATGGGAACTGACCAAATAATTTTGAAAACTCTGTGGAAGAGAAAGGGAATAAAAACAACTCTAGGGAAATGCTTATATTATGTCTGATTCAACCCTTCAAAATATGTTTTCCCTGTTCTTAGATTAAAAAAAACACATTTTTTTCCTAATGCTTTAAACGGTTACCAACTGGCAGAAATGAAATTTTGACAACATTTGAACCTAGGTGTCAAACAATTGTGCTTTTAAACTTTGAAAAGTTCCATGGGAATATTTATTTGTTAATATAGGACCTCTGAGAATTTTCATTACAAATAAATATTGCCCCAGGGGCATTAACTCTGCTAAGGTTGGGAATAAGATGAAAGCTTCATCTGTGCAGGGAAGCTGTAATGCAAACCATGCCAGAGGAGAGATTTTCTTCTCTGGCAGCTCTCAAGCAAAAAAGATCTGACATATTTCACTTCCAGAAATTTGAGCACAAACCAGGAAAAATAGCTACAGTTTCAAGATTTTCAGAGCTACTCAGTGACCCAAAAAAAAAAAAAAAAAAAAAAAAGCCTACCCACACCAGAGACAATCTAAAAATACTTCAGATATCTCAAAATATAACAACATTCCAGACCTGTGGAGGAGGCAGCCCAGCACACACTTCCTTCTGGCTGGTAACAGCTTTTACTTTTAAAACACAGATGAAATCTGCCTGGTAGAGGTGGAAAAAGGTGCCAAGCAGGTCTGGCTGAGTATGTTACTGCCCCCAACGTTGGGGGAGGAAAGGATGCAAACTCTCAAGAGCTTCCCAAAAACAGAAGGGGCCTTCAAAATGTGCCAGCCCTGTCTTGAATTAAGGTATATTTTTAGGGCAGCATAAAGAAGCTCACAGGGATCCAAGTTCTGCTGTGCAAGAGGTGTCATCCTCTTTAAATCCTGTTTGCAGGACAGACTAGTAGAAGAAAACACATCCATTCCACACCAAACAGAGCCCTGGATTTCACCATAAGGCTGCAGAATCGTGGTCATGCCAAACAAACACAAGTAACAGGTGTTTGCCTCCCATGAGATGATAATTTTGAAGAGGACACCAACCTGTTCTGAGATATTTTGACAGCCCCAAGCGCCCGTGTTGGCACTGCCCCAAAACCCCCTCCTGCAAACACTGTGGGCATGGGACTTCACACACAACTGCAGCAGTGGAAGCAAGCGGTAGAACAAGAGGCAGTTTGATGGCTCAAGCTCTAAATAATTTTATAACAACATACCATCTCCATGGTGCTGGCCGGAGTCAGGAAGAAATTCCTTAAATTCAGAAAGTAACCCTCTAGTTGTCCAATTAAAAGAAGTAAGATAACTCCATCTGAAAACTAGATAAGAATTACCTGAAAATTATTTGGCTTTAGTAAACTATTTCAGTAAATGCCATTCTAGCAATAAAGGAATGTAAATGTTACTCGGGCAAGCTTAGTTAGATAAGGCTCCCAAATTCATACTTGTGAAAATACAACCTTGTAAAAGGACAGCTATTAAAAAAAAAACTATTCCAAATATGAAAATACTTCAGATGAGCACAAATACATAACTATAAATAATAGAAAATTGTGCCTAGTTATGTGTGAAAAAATACTTGAAAACCTTCTTTTGTTACAGTTGCACACTGGAAAAATCCAGAAGAGCACCCCGTTCACCAGAGCCCAGGGTGCTCAGCCCAACTCTTCTTGCAATTTTATACTGTAAAGAAGCTCTCCATTCAGAGGATGAGACTTTGAGATGTGGTGAAAACAAGGCTTTTATACCATAAAGTAAATGCAGAATCAACAATCACTAAATACAGCAATCAACTTGGCTTTCATTTTAATGTTCAGGACACCTTTATTTCCATCCTGACAAAGAAAGCACCCTTAGGAGTTGGGCAGACTGAAAATTACTCCCTGTAGCATTATAAGGGCAGCATTCAATACAAAGGCTGTATTTTTGCATTAATTATTAGCTTCAGAAACTTCAGAGACCAAAGCTTAATGTCTTAACCTAAACCTGGAAATCATTATGTTGCCAAATTTCAAATTACTGTAATAAAAAAGGAGAGTTCCTAATTGTGACAGAAAACACACAAATGGCTGACAAATCATGGATAACATGCAGATTGGAGCACACTACCTGAGATTCGATGTCTCTCACATTTAACCCTAATTTTCCAACATTCTGGTCAACAAATTGCAAGAGTGCCTAAAGAAAAAAGAAAGGGGGAAAGGAAAAAAAACAATAACTTTTTCAGTATTTAAGTCTGGCCTAAAAGATTTTGATGTCTACTAAAAAAAGTAAATTACCTTTTTTACAGCATCCAGTTTATCTGGAGCACAGTTGAATAATTCATCAAAGGCATCATCTTCTGTATCAAAACAACATTAATTGGTTTTATTTTGAATAACTGAGAGATCAGAGCTTTAATGTGGCTCTAGAAGGAGAAAGGTATTTGCAGCTTACAATCCAAGGAGGAAAGGAGTAGCAGGGAGGCAGAGAATGATGCTGCTTTTATATTTATCAGAGGACCGGATGACAACCTTCCCTTCAGCCTGACCACATCAGAGAAAACAATTTACTTCATTCATCTCTGTAATTTTCACCTTCAGAGGTTCTCAGTTTGTGCTGCCACCAGTCTGAGCACTAACTAAATTTCACATCACTACAGTTTATCTCTTTTCACTTACTTTTTTTTAACCCTGAACCTCTGGGATAAAATGCAGGGAGCAGAAGAGCTGTATGTTTTACTGCTGTCCTCAAACAGAAATGCCAGTTACACCAAATTTGCAGAAAAAAGCCCAGCCTTCTTCCTTCAAAAAACCACAAGCAAGATATGGATACTCTGCCTTTCCTCTGAAAACTCGGAGACCTCAAAAACAGCCAGCTCTGCCACCCAGTTTAAAGTGGCAATGAGCTGGTGCCAGCAGAACTGTGCCAGAAAACTAGCAGGAGTCTAAAGGCTTCCAAAGAAATGAGATCCAAATCCCATCCTCACCTCCCCTTTCTGTCCAGGTTCAGCAAAAGCAGGATCCATCTCCTTACCCAGCCACAATACAGCTCTGGTTCAAGCATGACCAAATATTTGAAACACCCTGAGCAATGAGAGGCACTCTGGCAACACAATTACATGGAGAACCAGATTCTACAGCATAGGAAAGCAAAGGCAGCTTTCCTTAAGCTTAAGGGAATTTCCTCCCAAAAGAGAATCCTCCTTTGTGAAAGGGATTCCTCAGGTTTCTCTGTTCTGCCTGTTTGGGGATTGCTTCAGGAGCAGTGTCAGGGAATAGGTGAATCAAACAAATCAGAGAGAGCCCTCTACTGGAGCCATGCTTTGGGAATTCTCTTTGCTAGGAAAGCTGTGTCAAAAATAGGGAGAGAACATCTTGAAGAGTGAATTGCAGATTTCTCTTCCCAGAAGAATCAGCCCACTACAAGAAACACCTCATTATGGGTTGGGGTTTTTTCTTTTTTTTTTTTTTTTTTTTTTTTTTTTTTTTTTTTTTTTTTTTTTTTTTTTTTTTTTTTTTTTTCTTTTTTTTCTTTTATATTTTTTTTTGTTTGGGGTGGGGGGTGAGTGTTGTTTTTTCACAATTTCAGCCCACACTAGGGAACACTCAGTGGAATAAATCATAAATACATATCAAATTATATAGTTTGCACCTCTGCAAAAGATGAAAATGCCAAAATAAAGGGCACATCAGAGAATTCAAATGGTTGCCTTGCTTCTCTGGGGATGCAACGTGCTCGTTTGCAGCAGGGAAGAGCAGCTCACACTGTAGCCTGAGCAGTGCCCAGACCTTCTGCAGGCTTCGCAGACAGGGACATTTTTCCACCTCATCTGTTTCCCAGCCCTCAAAATCCCTAAGGGCAAAAGCTCTGGGGACGTTGGTTCAACTGAGCTGCCATCCACAGCCGAGTTCCAGTGGATTTCAAAATCCCATTTGCAAACCGTGGGAAGGAAAGTGTAAAAACCGGTAGCAACGAGAACCACAGTTCTGAAGCCTTTATAAATAGTTTCAACATGGTCCATGCTCAAATCCAAGCTGCATTGTGCCCCCAGCCAGGTTTTTTTTTTTTGGGTCATCAAACCCACCTTCATGTCCTGTCTCCCCTCCCATCTCTTGCCTGCAGTCCACAGGCAAAGTGACCACCCAGTTCCCAAGCTGTATTGTGTTGGTAGGAGCAGGCCTTAACAGAAGACATTTGGAGAAAAACAGCCGGAAAAAAAAAAATCCATGAATCTCCATTAACTTTAGTGGAAGCATACTGATTTTATCATGGGGTAAAAATGGATCACGACACGATGTATAAAAGCACTTAATGAAACACTGAACTTGGCAATGCCAGCACTTACTTGACTGCGCTTCTATATTCTCTCTGGAAGTGCAATAATAAGCAAGAGTTAGAAAAATGATTCAGCAGAGCTGATCTTATTCATAAGCTTTGCTTATCTGCTGTCCTGTAAAGCAGGAGATAGAGTTCAAAGTGGCATTAACTTTATGTCAGAGTGACCTTCCAACAGACATTTTTAAGTACTGCATATCTGTGTGGGGTCTTGGAAGCATATGAGATTTTACCTGGCCCACACACCAATGAACATTTATTTTACAAGCACAATCCTCAATATCCTCTTCCAATAAGCTGCTCATGATATTAGAGCTTGAAGATGTTCTGGCATATAAAAAATGATAATAGGAAAACCTGTTTCTAGTCCTTAGAATGAAGTCCGTATTTTTTTGGTATATAAGTGGTATCCTGTTTAACTCCTTTAATAATGACAGTACTTCATACACTCAGCAAGCTAAAACATTTCATTCACAGTAAAATAAGAAAAGAACTGTCTCCTTCCTTTTTATTTAAAGACACAACAGCAAGAAAGTAAAAGTAGATTTAAACCTTTGTGGCTTTAGAAAATTTAGTTTAGTCCAGTACAGGTAAATTTACAGTCCCAGAATTTTGTTACTATATTTGCTGTGAAATTCCATGGCAATGACAAATGCTAAGCCTCAGGAATAATCGTGCATATTGGTTTAGAGAATTTTATATACTGAATAATTAAAGGTATTGCACCATAATGCCAAATGTGAAGAGGTGAATAAAAAAAGCCAAGAAAACAGATAAACAACTCACATGCATATGCATGCCCAGGCTTACACCTTTTTCATCATCATGATCCCCACTACTTTTTGTAAGGGGGAACACACCCACAATGCTTCTTTTCTGATTGACAATGTAAAAAACAGATATATCCCATCTTACTTGTTTTCTGTTATATTTTCCACCCCGTTTGATGTCTTTAATCCTCTGGAGGTGGTCTGTTGAAAGGACAATAAACAATGTTGGGTTTGTTACACAAAAAATATTCCATAAACAAGCTTTCATGACCTGTTTGCTGCCTTAAATGAGTATCAGAAGGCATTTATTCAATAACTCCAGTACAATTAGTACAGGTATTTGAAGAGATTTCTGCTTCCTTCTACTCTCTTCAGTCTCTAGCAGGGAATCTCTTACTTGCCCATCAGAGGAAGCCCTTGGAGTTTGCTGTTCTTCCCTTTCAGGCAGTGAAAAACACTGTGCTTACAAACACCCGTGGTGGTAATTTTTGCAATTATATCCCAAATTCTGGGATATTCAATATTTCCCTACAGTCTCAGAATTGACTTTAAGAAACAAAATAGAGGAAGAAAGTGTGTAGATCTCTGCTTGCAGAGAACAGTACCAAAATGTGACCCCAATGGAAGGGGAGTGAAAATTCCCATCACCTAAAGAAAGAAATCTTCAGCATTTAAAAAAACTTTATGATTTATGAATATGAGCTTCTATTTTAAAGCATTTAGAAACAGTAACAGCACAATTTCTTTGTTTTCTTCTTTACAGAGATCAGCAGCTGCTTTCAGTTTGGACCCTTCCCTTGTTTGGCTGAGGAAGAAAAACAGCATAGTGCTTTTCCCCTTTTAAAAACAGATTATCTGAATTGAAAATTCAATCTAATCCACCAAACTCAGAAATTGAAAGGTGTGGTTCACAGAAAATACAAGAATCTCTTTCACAGCTGCACAGACATTTCTCCTAATTCTAAGCAGGTTAGCCTTGTGAAAGGACTCTAGGATCTACTGTAACTAATAGTAAAACTAAAAATACCTCAATGGTGATTGTCTCCACTTGAACATTTGGAGGCAGAGCCAGGGTGGGCTCGAAGTGCTTTGCTATTGCAACCAGAAGATGCAGTGTGCTCAGTAAGTCCTTTGCCAAGATAGCTATTGAGTATAAGGGAAGAAAACAATGGTCAGTGTGGAAAACATGGGAGGGCCATTACACAGGGGGGTACACTGGATTGGGGTTTATATAATATGAAAATCTAGCAATAGCACAGCTTAAAAGTGAGACATACAGGGATACTGAGGGCTCTTAAGTGAGCCACAAGCCACACACTTAGAGAAGACAGAGCCAGGCAGGGTCAGATATGTCTGTCTCACTTTTGATTCAACTAGTAATTGAAAACAGGTTGTTTAATTACTGTTCTGGCAGCACACTGCCTCCACAGCAGCCTTATAGCTCAGCCTGTGATGGATAATTTTTGCCAATTTCACTTCTGCACCTACATTCCACACTCCATTTCAGCTGACTTTCTTCCAGTTGCAAACACTTGGCCACAGCTTCCAGAATCACAGAGAGTTTCTGTCGCTGTTTTTTTTCTGTTAATGCAATCTTGTCAACATCCAGCTTGAGAGAGCCTAAGTTTTCTTTTACAGAGGGTCCATAGGAAGAAGGATGTATTTTAACACCATTGTAGGGAAAAAGAAAATAATTAGAAACATAAAATGACAGTGAAGTACACAAAGTCTTGTTTTAAATGTTCAATATCATTTCAGAGTTCTGCAAAAGGGAGAGGCACTCCTTGCAGCATCATCCCTCAGCCCTAGCTCTTTACATTCCATCAACAGAAATCCAAGGAGTGCATCTTTCCTGTCAATAATGTACAAAGTCAATATCAACTCATATATAGAAGAAATATGAGGTCATTGCTCAGGCAAGTAAACCATGAAAATCAGCCACTCCTGCTCGTGCTGCTACTCTCAGCCTTGGTGGAAAGGAGGTAGATTTAAAAGACATCCCCAGAGAGAGTGATAAGGGAAAGATAAATGTAGTAGGGACAGGAGAGATGGAGAAATAGATTACAGGCTGCTCCAGGAGGTCACATCTTTATACAAGCACCAGATAGAGCCAAAAGCCTCTTAGATTTTTACCAGTTCCAGTACCAGAACAGTTCTTTGGACCAGGAGCTTTTAATTTTTTTTCATTTTTTTTTTTAAAGATAGGGAAATATATATTACAGTGCTGATTCCCTCCAGTATTTCCGGTAGCACCAGAAGCCACCTTTGTGTTCTAGTTTATGAAGCCCTTGTTCATTTCAGAAGCACTAAATTTCACAATTCATTGTCAACCTTTTTATTATGTCAACTAGCAGCTAATAAGAATTCCTTAGAAGTAAAATAACCATGTAAAACAATAGTGAGAATTTGTTCAGAATTGTGATTATCACAGTGCAGTGAGAAGTGACGGCAGGTCCCTGCTACTGCGATTCCTGAGGTTTATTCTCTGATTGGAAAGTTCCTCCATAAGATGTTTGCAACAACTAAACTCAAAGGAGCAGCTCACCCAGGAGATGATGAAGCACCAGCCCATCATACAGGTCTTCCTCCAGACTCTTAACTACTATGTGTTCCTCTTTCAGAGTTCTGTTGATCCACTCAGTCAAGAACTGTGGGGAGGGGTGGAAACAAAGCAATTATATTCGTGTTGTTTAGACAATACAGCACTCAGTGCTGCATTCTGTTTCACCTCTCTCTTCAGGCCCTCATCTCAGATCTTGGTTTGCTTTCAATCTCCACTTCCTTTGTGCTTTTTGGTTATTTTTTATAGGATAAATTCTTCCTAATTTTCAAGTGAGATAGACATCTCACTACATATATTCTGAGGAATTCTGTTATAGAGCTGGGAAGAGAGACTCTTCCCACTTCCACCAGGGAAAAGGCTGCACAGTACACTTCCCATCCCCCACCTTTATCAAACATCGCATAATTCACACAAATTCAACTGCTAGGCAGAAGTTTGTAAGAAAAGAGGCTAGGCTCATTCTGAGGGTGGTTTCTTGTACTCATCCATGCTACTAGCATTCCTCCCTCTCATCTCCTGGTTTTGTTTTCTTTTTCTTTCTGCAGTATTGTACCACTCCGTCCCCAAACACTTCCTTGGAACTTTCTTACATGGCAGTCCTCCCACTGGCCTTCCAATATCCTTCCTGCATTTCCAAGGGGAAGCTGCTCAGGAGGCCAAGGTGTGGCTAAAAAAGCAGAAGGACCATTTGTGCTCCTAGTCAGGAGAACAAAGCATTTCCTCAGCACTTCTCCAAGCATGTGCTTTATTCACATGTGTTGAGAGAAAGGGAAGATGACCTGGTGAAGTAGAACAGAAAAGTAGTAGCCTCAGCTGGCTGCCAACCTGAACATCCCTCTTGTGAGAGGAAGGGTATTGCTTTTATTGCTGTAATTGTTACGAGTGAGTGTCTGGAGTGGATAATATCCTTCTCACTTGCTGTAAACAGAGGAGAAAATTAATAGCAGATTCCTGTAAGCTCACCAACATTAACAAAAATGTAAGAAGGGTTTGAAAAGAAAAGTCTCTGAGATGCTTGGAACTGCACAAGAAATAAAAAAGCCTGAACTGAGAAGCTGTCAAACATGTCCTCTGCTGAGAAGTAACAAGAGCAGAAAGCTCTGCTCTTCAGCTAATTCTTGAGTACACTTTGTATGTGCAAGGGGTAGAGCAGTCCCCCAAACACAAGAGTACAGCCAGAGGGAAGTCAGAAAAGCAGCAAGTACTGCTGAGCACAGACCTATAGCATCCCTCCTTTTCTCTCCCAGCTTGACAGCCACATGTACAGCCTGCAGCTCACACCATTCTGCTTTCTGCCCAGCTATGGGGGCCCCACTCAGCTGCAGAGCAGAGCCTCATGTCTAAAAATGAGTAAACAGGGAAAGGAGAAAAGGAATACTTTGAGAAGTTTGCTGTTGGCTTCCAAATTTTACCATCTTCTATTTTACATGCAACCGGATATTTACAGCAACTACAGGGAGCCATTTCGTATTTCTCAGTTCTCCAAAGCCACCTCAAAATGAAAATGCAGTGGAACAGTCTCCCTCCCCAGTGAGTTTCTTCACTTCCCTTGTTCTTCCCTTGAAGATTCCTCCCTGTCCCTGTCTCCATTCCAAATATTTCTCTAGAGAAGCCATCAAATCTTTAGACAAAGAAGGCAGTCAAAGGACACTGATGGGCACCCAGAGAACTCTGTCTCCCTCAGGACATAATTTCCATCTCCTCATCACCCAAAGAAAAGACACTAGACCGTGATGAACATCATCTCAGGAATCTCTGACAGGAAATGGATTAAGCACTGAAGCTCACAGAAATCTTCATAACTGAGGAAAACTTAATTTTTGGCAACCTCAAAATAACAAATACGGTCTTTCTGTAGAAAACATAATTGCATTCTGCAGCATCACCTTTCAGAGTTTCCCCTTTGTATAACAACATCACGAAAGCCTGACACAAAATCAAATCTTTTGGATCAAATGTACATGAATACCTAATAAAAAACCACACCTACCTACATGTTTATAAATGCTAGAAAATACAAACAACAGCACATATCTTAAGCTGCCTTTTATAATATTTATAACAATTTCAGTACCTCCATAATGCAAGGAGTGCTGGTCTCATAAGACACATGCCACTTTTCTTCCAGGAAGTTTCATTACATGGACTGTGCCATTAGAGAAATTGAAACAGTGATTGAACACACCGGGGAGACTTTCAAAATTAGATGGAAACAAAGTACTTGCCTGTGAATAAGATTCATCCTTCACAGTTACCTCAAACAGGCAGTGTACCATACAATGGCCTGAAAGCTTTCATTCCAAATTCCTGGTGACTTGCATACTCTTCATCCCATTCCCCCTCTGCTCTCTGCTAACCGTTCCAGCTGAACCAGCTGCTGGTGAAAGCTGCTGCAAATCAGTAGAGCAATCCTAAAAGTTACCATGGGATCAGTGCAGCCACGCTGCACCATATCTCTCTTTAGTCACAGCAAATGCTGGCATGGGTCTGCTTGTGGTCCAAGCCCAGTGTTCTGGCTGGATTCTCACAGCAGTTACTTTATCATCACAATGAAAGAGTAACTGGGTGCTTCTGGTGTGGCTCACCCACACAGGCCAGGTTTGGAGAGGCATCACATCAGAAGCCACTCAGGTTTGTATCTGTACTCCACACCCAGCAGAGCTCACTTCATTAGAAGCTTGATCCTGTATGGCCCAGCCACCCTGATGCTGAGCAGAAACAAAAGCTCAGTTTCACTTGAATGGAACCCAAATGCCAAAAGCAGAGCTCATTCCCATCTGTAGAGAGTGGGGCTCTGGGGTCAGAGGGCTGGGCAGTTTAATGAAAGAGGCTGAAAGAGGTTAGAACTAGGTTGTTTGCTTTAGCTCAACTCGAGGTGAGGGTTAAACTACACAGTAAAAGAAGTGGTACCAGTTTCAATTCTTCCAGTTTGCGGTTGTTGCTTGAGGTCGGTTTTATGAGTTTCCTCTTCTCGCCTATGAAAGGAAGCAAACAAGATCCATCACAATTATCAGATATTACTAAAACAAGTTTGCAGCTAAATCTGCTATCAGTTTGATATTCCCAATATGGCTAATTTCCCTATGTAGAAACATTTATTTTTCCTTTTTACTAATTCCATATGAGCAAGAAACTGGTATAGCAGACTACTAAGCCTGCTGTTGGAAATTATGCTTCAGTGTACTTTAAATCAGTAAGATCTAGATGGACAATTCTAGAAAGAGGAAAACACACTTGGTCAGATCCACATGAGTGAAACTCAAATTTCAGTTAAAGAATCAGTTGGACGTTGTGTTGCGTCTTCATAATCTGCCCCCAAAGAGTCATCAGCCAAATTACACACACAGAACTTAATCATTTCTGATATGGCCAAGGGATCACTGCTGAAAAATACAGAATTCATTTGTACAGAACATTTTCTGTTTGTCCCTTCAGGTGGTTCTTTGGCCTATTTTGTGTCCTGGTTAATAAAACACATACCTTTAGTGATAACATCCTCAGTTAGGAATCGATCAAGTGTAGAAGGCTGTGTAAATATATTTAAAAAGTCTGGATCCATTGTCTTTAATCACTCCTGGTAAAGTAGTAAAAAAGATTTGGGGGAAGGGAACATGAGTAAAGGCACATAAAGATCAAAATTAGTGCTAAAAAAAAAACAAACCAAAAGGGTTTTTTATCAGTTATTATTTCACCACTATTTATTTAATTGTGTGCAAAGAAAAAAGTTTAAAACAATTTTCATTTTTTTCTGTTAATCATCAAAATGTAGGAAAAGAAGACCTGAAGACCTAAACTAAAACTTGCTTAAATTACATCTAATTATAGTCCCTGTATTAGATAAGTAAAATCCTATTTCAGCTGAAGTGAAAAAGAAGCTCTCAGTCCCTAGATATTGTTGGATATGTGCTAGAAAACATAAAAATTACCAATACTTAAGGAGTATTAAAACAAGAACCCGATAGTTAAATTACTGCGACAAGTTAGTAAATATAAGCAGCTTCCTTTATTAGACCAGCTGGTACAGCTGTGGGGAGACAAGGACAGCTATTGGCATCTGAATAGTCTCTTTTACAAATTCTAGTATAGAGTCATGAAATCATTTCTATTGGAAGAGAACTCTGGGATCATTGGATCTCAACTGTTCACCCACCACTAAACCATGTTCTCAAGTGCCACATGTGCATTGTTTTCGAATCTCTCTAGGGATGGTGACTCAAACACTTTCCTGGGTAGCTCCTAGTGCTTGAGTGCCCTTTCAGAGCAAAGCTTTTCCCTCATGCCCAGTCTGAACTTCCCCCGGCATGACTTGAGGCCGTTTCCTCTTATCCTGTCCCTTGTTCCCTGGGAGCAGAGCCCCCCCCAGCTGTCCTCTCCTGTCAGGGAATTGTGCAGAGCCAGAAGGTTCCCCCTGAGCCTCCTCTTCTCCAGGCTGAGCCCCTTTCCCAGCTCCCTCAGCCCCTCCTGGTGCTCCAAACCCTTCCCCAGCTCCATTCCCTTCTCTGGACACGCTCCAGCCCCTCAATGTCCATCTTGTCCTGAGGTTCCCAAGCTGCCCCAGGATCTGAGGTGTGGCCCCAGCAGTGCCCAGCACAGGGACAGTCACTGCCCTGGCCCTGCAGCCACACCATGGCTGGCACAGCCCAGGTGCCTTTGGCCTCTTGCCCCCCATGGCTCCTGTCCAGCTGCTGTCCCCAGCACCCCCAGGGTCTTTCCCAGCTTTCCAGCCCCTCTGCCCCAGCCTGGAGCTGCAGGGGTTGGTGTGAGCCAAGGGCAGCACCCAGGACCTGGCCTTGTTGACCCTCAGACCACTGGCCTGGGCCCATGGATCCAGCCTGTCCAGATCCCTCTGCAGAGCCTTCGTGCTCCCAGCAGATCCACACTCCCACCTAACTGGGTGTCATCTGAGAAATGACTGAGGGAGCACTCAATCCCCTTGTCCTGATCAAAGATAAAGATATTAAACAGGACTGGTCCCAGTGCTGAGCTCTGGGGACTCCACTTGTGACTGGTCACCATCTGGATTTGACTCCATTCCCCACCACTATCTGGGCTCAGCCTTCCAGACACACAAGCAAGATGGTGCTTCATAAATGAAATGCACATTGATTTAAGTGCCAGAAACCAGAATCACAAACTGTAACTGTGCTGTGGCCTGAAGAGGTGAAAGAAATTACAGGAGGATGAGGGCTCTGGACACTTATAGCAGGCTATGGTTCTAGTATGAGTAAGAGAACTCATCCTTCTCAACAGTCCAAAAATCTCTGGAAGTCTGAGCAGAGAAGATGTGATGACCAGGAAGACTTTTACTTCTGGACAACTATGGGAGAAGGGATGCTGACTAGTTTGTGGTTCTTTTGAAGCACAAAAGAAAATAAGATGTTCCATATTAGAGAGTCCCACAGGAGAGTTTTCCCACTCTCTACCCAGGGTGCCCACATTGGGAGCCCTTTCTCCTAACTCTTGCTGTCAAATGAGTGAGAACGACACTTTTGAAGAGCAATCCAGAGGATTTAAATGAGTGGCTAATCCTAGTTTTAGGAATGGAGTTCCCTCCACTCTTTTACCAGAGACAGCCCTGGTTGCTGCTGCAGGTGCCTGAAGTGAGATGCTCCCTCTCACTTCAGATGACCCAGAGCAAGGCATCTGCTGAAAATGCTGTGGCACAAAACATCTCCAAAGTGGCATTCCTTTGCCTGCTAGTTTTATACACCAAACAACACAGTGCTGCTCTGAAGGCTTTCACGTATTTCTTACAGGCTCCAGTCAAAGCATGTTACAAACATGTATTTTAACACAGATTTTGCCAAAGCTGAGAATACTGGTAGAAAATAACAATTGGGTGCTTTTGCACATCAATCTGGTAAAACAAATTGGTACAAAATTGCTAGCAAGGCACTAAGAGAAAGGGTCACAAGAGAATTTTTTTCATTATCATGGTGGCAAAACTGAATGCTGTCTCTAAAAAGCAGCTTGATAAAAACAGATGGGAGAAATTGAGTGATGTAGTGCCTGAGGAACAACTGAACTAAGACTGCCCAGTTGAAATGAACTGAGAGAAGTTAATTAATAGAGAGCAACCCGAGGACAACTTACTTTTAAATTAGGTTTCTGGCAGCTGTGATGTCTTGGGGAAGTCCAGCTCATAACAGAAACGGTCTGTGTAAACTACAACTTACTCTCACCCAGTTTTGCAATACTGAAGTTCTGTATCTCTTAATTCCTTCAACTATCAAAGTGATGTGTGCTGCCTGCCACACCTTCAGGCTCTTTTTGGCTAAGGAACCCGAACATCAGAAGCCACTCTAAAATTTGGAAACCTGTAAGGAAAGGCCTGAAATTCAGAATTTACATTCTGAATTTCATAATACCCTCTAGGGTATTATGAAATACCCTAGAGGGGTATTTCATAATACCCTCTAGTAATACCCTCTAGGGCCTCAGTCCTGTGTGTTACTCAGTTAAAACTGCTGCACTGGGTAATATTAATTTGCCTAGTATCCAGTCGCTTTGGGAAAAAAAGCCAGAACTATAAGCAGTGCAAGGATACATAGACACTTCCCCAAAACATTTTTAACAGTCTTCAGTTCAGCCTTCCTAAAGCAAAGCTGGGGGCCTGGTCACTAGAAATTGTCAACAAATTTATTCCCATGAACTCCCCACTCACCCCTTGAACATGTGTCTGTCTCAGCACTCAGCATTGAGGAGGTATAGTGTGGCCCTACATCATGTGAAGTTCCATATCCTGTTTCTTGCTCTGACCCACCAGCTTCCCCTGAAGGCACCATGCAAAGATCAACTGATCCACATTTTTCACACCCCTGTGTTAATTCTCTGTGTCCCTCCTGCCCTACTACCCCAAACCCTCCATGTCCATCTCTTTCCAAAACCAAGACAGCCCACAGTTATCCTTCCCCGGAAAACCAGCTGGTCAGCCTCAGTGCTTTTTTCTGAGCTTCCTCCAGCATGATCACAGCCTTTTGGATGTGCTAGGAACTGGACCTGCCCAGATTTAGAAAGGTGCATTGCAGCATTCACAGTGGTCTCTGCCCCTCTCCTCCTAAGTCCTGTTTCCTTTTTCATCACTGTTGACCCTTTATTGGGAATTATCTATTAGATCTCCAAGATCTTATCCCTACATAGCAACACACCATTAAGAGCCCATCATTTATTGTATTTCAGCTCACATTTATCAATATTGATTTCCCACAGGCATTTCCCAGAGGCTCCCACAGAGGCTGACAACTGCAGTTCTTCAGCATTTAATAGACTCATTGTTTATTACTCATAATTAGCACTCACAGGCAGTCTTTCATGTGGCAGTGCAGCATATTGTTGGGGCTTGGTCCCAGGCAACAGCCTTTCAGAGAATAACATACTACAGGGAACATAAAATGGAACGTTTTATGTTGGGCTGGGGACAAGTCCCTGGGTGAGCTGTTTAAACAGGAAAGGTCAGAAGAGCTGGTTCTCACACACAAATTTCCATATTTGCTGCAACCAGCCCCTGCAGCCCATCAGTTAAATTTGCTGCTAGGAGCTGTGGTTGACATCCTGTTTTTTCCAGGCCCCATCCTCCTGCACAAGTTTTTTTTCAGTACTTGGAGTAGATTGTAAGAGACAACTGCTTAAATACTGACTGTACAGGCATTTCATTATGGCATCTTTAAATAAAATAGATGCTTAATTATGGGCTATTCAAAGGAAATAGCATTCTCTGGATGAATTAAATGCTCATTCCCTGAGAATGCCGTGGATATACAGGCTTTGCTTTAAAGCTAAGGGGTGTTTGATTTCTTGTGTGCTGCCTGCAGGGGCTGCCAAGAAGCAAATTGTTCTTAGCTCAGGAGCTAGGCTCTTGCACAAGCTCGCAATGTCACAACTACTGATAAACAACTGATTCTCAAGTTGGGTCAGAGCAGCTCACTTTTCCTCCATGAGTCTTCACAGGGTCTGGCTCCCAGATGTCCCCAAGGCACCACACAAAGTACTAATGGGGGTCTCTGGCTTACAAATCAGCTGTAGAATATTCACAAGGCACTTTCCAATGCTACCAAACTGTTTCATCCGTTTCATTTCCTGCTTGAAAAGATGAAAGCCCTACTCTAGGTCAAACACATTTCCTAAGTAGATCACACAAAGGAAGGGGAAAAAAAACCCAAATGGGAATGTTAATAGTAATATTTCCACCTTTGGGAAACCAGAATTAAAAAATAAGTAAGGATTAATAAAAGAATGCACATTGTGCGCCCAGTTTAAAACTTATTTTCACTTCCCTGTGTAGTGCCGGACCTTTCAGGAGCCATCTTTGCTCATGAGCACCAGAAGAGATGTTATCTTAGTAAGAACAATCCTCACAGACACAGAAAATCTTCCAGTTAAGAACACTAATTAGGAAAAAAAAGCACCCAAAGGACACCCATTTTTCAAACTTACTACTCTCTCCTTCAGTAACTTTCCAGAACTCTTCCAAGACCTTGTCCCAGCAGTCAGGATGCAGTTTGTGGGGCCGAGGGCTGAGCCCAGGCTCAGAGGTCTCCCACACAGGGCAGCACAAGGCACACAAGGGGAAGTTGTGCCGCAGTGCTCTGCTCTTAAAAACGAAACTATGGTCCCATCCGGAACTTAATCGTCTGTGTGCTGGTCTCTGCTGAAGAGACTGAAATAAACAGGAATACAGGAACAGGAAACATGCAGCCCTGCAACTCCTGAAACACCATAAAATATTAAGATATGATCGTTCGTGGATGGCACTGCCCAGCAGGACAGGGCTATTCTGCCTCTAGGGCAACTCAAGAGCACTTTTGGTTTGTATATGATAAAAAAACTAGCCAAGAGCAGACAAGATCATGTTCAAATACACCTTTTCCTCATGCTCCTTCAAGTATTTTATAAAGCAGATCAGGACCACTCTGCCTACCTGGCAGAAGGAGAAACCTACAAAATGAATTAATTTGTCCTTAGAGAGGAAGTTAGCCACACCAGGGCCCTCATGTGAGACAAGAGTTAAACCCAGCAGGCAATGCTGCTGCTCTTCCTCCCCTTTTACATCACTGATTAAAGAGACAGAGCTTCCTACAGAAACCACCTTCCCTGGACATTTCTTCCAGGTGTGAATTGCATTTATTAACACACCTTTTTTTCCTCCAAAACCTGATATAGTGACCAGTGCATGGAGTATCCAGACTTCTGCAGAACAGCAGAAGCCAATCCTGTATTAGTTGCGTTTGATTTCACGCCAATGATGCCTAAAGATTTTTACTTTATATATATTTTTCATGTATTTGTAGCTTTGCACTGTTAATACATGGTTATACATGGTTATATAGTCTTCCTAGCCCTTTCTTTTAGATTTTAGAGTACTAAGCAAACCCTTTTAACATTCCTGAAATTCTGTTGAGTTTTGCAACCAGAATCTGAGGAGACATCGCAAGAAAACAGGGCAAAGAAGCCCCTGGACCAGCTCCAAGGGGCTGACCCAGGGCAGGTGTTTCTGAAAGTCCTCAAAGCACATCACATCATGCACACACCCTCACCACGAACACCTGGCCCCCATGTGAAAATAGCCTCTGAGGAACAATTCAAGGATTCAACAGCAATAACAAGTTCTGACAATGCATTTTCCCACTTTTTTACATGGCCCTGGCTGTACTGGAGAGCCAGGCTACACTCTGCACACCAGAGCAAAGGGAAGCTCACCATTCATAAGTTCTTCCCACAGATTTTTCCACTGAGGAAAAAAAAAAGTAGAAAACATAGTGATCATTATTTTTTTATTTGAATAAATAGTACAATTGTCAAAAACCATGCATAAACATTTGTGCTGTGAATTTTAGCAAACATAGCATTGCATTGTAACTTGCTTACAGTACACAACTCTTATCACTAAGATGGATGTCTCCAATGTATGACAAGTCCAGAACTTTATCTGCAAGGCTGGTTTTTAGTAGTTAGAAATCCAGAGTAAACGCTGTTAAAAACAGTAAAAAAGGCTCTTAAAAAATACATTAATACTGAAAGCACTGGGGTGTGGGGAAGAGGAGGAAGAAATTCTATAAGGTTTAAATTGATTTAAAAAATCTGCTACTGTCGGGTTTTCATCTTGAAAAACAGAATGCAGCTGAGGACTATCTGAGCTGCTTCTGTGGTAATACAGCTCACTGAGTGTGTCAAGTAAACGCACCTGAAAGTCAAGTTGTATGGACTGGAAAAGACAGACATTCATTAAATACTTACAAATGCAGGAGCTTTAATGCTGTAGAGCATTCAGCATTCCAGATGAACTCAACAGGATTCAGACTAGTATCCACATGTAAAACCCCAGTAACACAAAGATATCAAGAATCACATTTTTAACACTGACTCAACTTTCTGAGAGGCAAAGGATTTTGGTGCATGTGTCACAGAAAGGGATGACAAAAGCAGGCATTCAGAAAAGCTTTACCTACATGGCTCAGCCTGGAAACTGGGCTGTCTGGGATGAAGCCACACTCCAGTGCAATCTACCCTGCTCACAAATCTAGTTAACAATAAATACAGTGTCTACAGATCAGTGAGCTGGCCAGACAGCCAGGAGCCAAGGAATGAAAAAAGTATCTTCCCTGTGCAACATCTACCAACAAACAAGGCCACAACAGAACAGGTTGTGACACCTAATCTGGTCTGTTAATATCCCTATCAGTCCTGGCTGATAGGGATGTTAACAGAAGGACTGCTAAAGGAGACCCATGGCTGTAGCAAGGGGACCAGAAACACATAATTCAACAAAACAGACTCTCTTTTACAACCTGTTATAACCTGCTCACCTCTGCTCACATGCCCAGCTCAAAAACAGCCATTCCCCTTTCTAAAGCCAAATCACTCTCATCCATCTCTTCTTTCTAACTTCTGCTTGCTTTTGTTATTAATACTGCTTGCAGTTTCAAAAACGACACTCTCTGGAGGGCTTTCCCAGCAGCTCAGAGAATATAAACAGAGCTGGCATCTCCACATCTCTCCCACCTGAAAGGGAGTGGAATAACAACTCTTGAACAGACTTGATTCCTGCAAATAACCCTGCATTGAACTAAAAGTTTGAGAGACCTTTCCATTCAGTGACCTTCCAGCCTCATGATACCTTTGTTTCTCAGAACAAAAGTTAGACCAATTTTATTCACCTGCCAGGAGAGCTGTCCCACCAAGCCTTGGCAGCTGTGCAAGTCTCCTCTGTTGGTGTTGTGGTGGAGTTGAGAGGCCCCATCTGAACGGCACATTCACTTATTCCAGACTCAGTATAAACAGTGAGAGGTTAGCTCCTTCCTAAAGTACAGGCATGCAAAGATTCCCCAGAGAGCCTTCCCCAGAGAAGAGGAAATCTGAATTTTCATGCAAAGAAAGGGTAACTTCCATCTTTTTTTTTTAGAGTGCGAGGGGAGGTGATCCAAGTAATCCAAATACTAGAACCCAAAAATACAAAGTAAAGAAGCAGAAGCTCATTTATCTCCCTCTGAGGTGAAAAAATGTTTAAGAAGGGAAGGAAAAAATCCCATTTGTAAAATTATACCATTCAAATAGCATGTTTCCTCTTGAACTTGAGCTCAAAGCCAAATAATGCTTGGTATAAAAAAAAAAAAATTTTAGGGAAAGAAGATGCTTCAAGTAAGCCCATGGAGCAGAGCAATTCTGCCTGCTCCTCTCCTTCAGGTCACACTGCCTAGTGTTTCACTGAAAGGAATGGCTGCCCGTAAAACAAAAGTTGCTGCTGTGATACATAAAAGCAGCAATGAAATCTCTCCTCTACATGCTCAAAGGAAGAGGATGATCTTGAACACATATTCCACATATCATATACTCTGGAAATGCCAATCCCATTTCCTCCACAAAGCTCTCCTCAAAAACCCACTCAGATGGCTCCTGTTCCAGCACATTTCCTAGGTTAGTTTCAGGAAGGACTGGGGCAAATGTACTAATCCAGCCTGTGCCTGTGTGACCAGCTCCTGATCAACCTGACCGAAGCTGCCTGCTTAGAGGTGGACAGTGGCCCTAGCAATCAAATTTCTCCTAGAAAATAGATTAAATAAAAAATAGACATCAAAAGATTAGTTGGTCATCCCATGGCAACTATTCTGTGTAAACACTGAATGGAAGTAACACTGAGTAGAAAGAGGTGAACACAAAAACGGAAGCTTTTGCCATTAGCTTCACACAGTGCCTGTAATTCCCCTCAGCCCAACCAAACCAAGAGAACACACAAACCCTTATTTAATAGAAAAGGCTCAGCTTCTAAAAAAATTCCAATGGTGATTTTCTACTGCTAGCACTCCAAGCCTGGAAAATTATCAAATGCCTGTTGCAACCAAGGAGTATGCAAAAGAAAGTCTTCTGCAGAAGCAAAGAATCTCAAGCCATGAGGAAGGTCTCATGTTTTCCCTGCTTATTAAAGTAGTTAGTGGTATATTTCCTTTCTCAAAAGAACATTCATGGATTATAGCAAACAACAGATCCGTTTGGCAAAAGTGTGAAACACCTACACATTTTCAAGTGACCTAGAGAATACATATGCATCATTTTTAGTGGGATTGTCTGACAAACAGCTACAGAGAGAACACATCAACTGTAGGAAGAATGCATGAAGTACATATCATAAGGCACAATGGGAGCATGCAAGAGGGCGTGTTTATTGTAACTTCTTTCTGAGGAGGTTGAAGGATGATGAGACCTCAGCAGCTTCCAGGATCACTCAATGTTCTTGTACTTTGTGAAAAGGTTGTACAGAACCCTGAGAGTAGACTTCAAGTCCAAGTTGACAACATCTGTGGAAGAAAAGGATAAATCCTTAATTTGCGTTTTGTTTTCCCTCATTTGTCCTGACAGAAGTCCCCACATCTCTGAGCTGATGGAATTGTGAATAAAAAAAAAATCCACAGAGTTTTGATCTGCTCAAGCCTTTTACATGTCCTGCATGATGTTCTTCAAAGCAGCTTTACAATCATACAGCACAGTCAACTTCTCCCTGGGAAACAGAAGGTAATTCCCTTCCTCAGCTAAAATTTGCTATAGAGAAAGTCTACTTCTGTCAGAGACCTGGGATAAAGGCTTTGGGAAATACTCCTGAGGACTTTCCTGGCCACAGAAGCAGTGAACAAGCAGTCACACACATCCTAAGGTACTGAACCACATCCACAGCTCTCAAAGATATGGTCCATGAATTAACAAAGCCTGAATCCTTAGCATCCTCAAGCTTTTTATTATTTAATAACGCTTCTTATCACGCTAGGCCAGAGAAAAGGTCTGGAACAGCTCTCAAGAGAAAGCTTTCCTGTTAGCACTTCTCCACCTATACTGCAATAAAATGCCAATAATGCAGGGATTCTGGGGGGAGGCACAGCGTAAGAAGGCTGAAGAGGTAGAAGGAAAGTTTGGATACAACATGTAAGATAGTAGTAAGAAGCAAAAAATATACAGTGAACAATATATTACGGAAGGAGAAGCGAGGAAGAACTGATAATTAAAAATTATCAAAAGTCCTAGGAAGACAGCAAACTGCTAACAGACCAAGCATAATTAATGAGAGATCCAAGGGAAATCCCCACTGTCTTCTTTGAAATATCATTGCCAGGA